TTCAAAAAAAATAATAATAACGATAATTACAGGAGATTTAGAAAATGAGGACGAAATTCTGGAATGGCTATTGTCGCAACTTGAGAAAGACGAGATCGAAGACGTCACCGATGAGATGCTGGATCGTCTCATCAAAGATGGAAAGACCTTGGCCGTATTGTTCTGTAAGTTGGTTCTGTAAATTAATATGTGGATCGATATTAGATTTAAATGATATTAAAACGTATTTATAACGATAATACAGACGACAATAACGATCGCAAGTCTCAGAGAGTTCTCAATGAATTGGAGAACATCGACGATGAATGCGATCAACTCGGCGTAACGTTCGTGAAGATCGACAACGCGGAGGAGGCTAAGGAGTACGGCATTGAAAAAATACCTACGATGCTCTACTTTGAGAAGGGCATCCCGATGGTGTACGAGGGCAATCTCGAGGACGAGGAGAAGGTGCTGAAATGGTTGGAGCAGCAGCAGAAGATCGACCAGATCGAGGATGTCACCGACGAGATGCTTGACATAGTCATAGACAAGATGCCACACGTAGCCGTTCTCTTTTGTCAGTAACACACTTTTCTTACGCTTCTTTTCTTCGTGATATTTTCTTTGTTGAAAATTGCGCTATCGCGTTACTTTTAATTGTTGATACGATTCTATCGTTACTCTACAGATGACAAAGATCAGAAGAAGAGTCAAAAGGTGATAAGCGAATTGGAAAACATCGACGACGATTGCGACCAGCACAACATAGCCTTTGTGAAGATCAGCGACTTGGATGAGGCAAAGGAATACGGCATAGACACGCTTCCTACTTTGGTGCTCTTTGAACGAAAGATACCACACATTTACGATGGTCAGTCTTGCCGAAGATTTCCATTTACGTAAAAAAAAAAGAGAAAACAGCATGGTCGCGAATAGAAAAATGCTTGAGAAAATTCTAATTGCGTTTCGCAGGCGATCTCATGAACGAGGATCAGATACTGGGCTGGTTGTTGCATCAGAAAAAACACGCCGAGATCCCGGAAGTAACGGACGAAATGGTCGAAAAGCTCATTGAGACTTCGCCGTACATAGCAGTCCTGTTTTGTAAGCGATCGATTCGTCTTTCTACCTCCTTTTAACACATTCTTCCACTGTTACTTGTTAGGTAGGTGCTGTTATATGGTCGCGAGTGAGAGCGACCAGCGAATTGATTCTTTTCCGTAGACGACAAGGACGACAAGCAGGACATGCGGATCCTGAACGAGTTGGAGAACATAGACGACGAGCTGGAAAAGGAGGGGATCGTCATCGTCCGCATAGACAACGACGCCGAGGCCAAGGAATACGGCATCGATCATCTCCCGACCCTGGTGTACTTCGAGGATAAGATCCCGGCGATATACGAGGGCGATCTGTTGAACGAGGATGAGGTCCTCGAGTGGCTGATAGAACAAAAGAACAGCGCTACCATCGAGGAAGTCACGGACGAGATACTGACGGATCTCATAGAGGAGCACGAATACGTTGTGGTATATTTCAGTAAGCACGCATTTCTCATCAGTATTGTCAATAGAGTCAAGTTAATTATTAATTATAATAGCTTTATCAAGTTAGTTATATTCTCCTCGTTTGTGACATAATCGACCAAAAATTGCGACAGGTGGAAGTTGCGACGAAGGAGAAGAATGTGACAATATCCTCGATGAATTGGAGAACATTGACGATGAGCTGGACGAGACGGGCATTATATTCGTTACTACCGAAGACATCATCATAGCGAAGAAGTATGGTATCAAGCATTTCCCGACTCTCGCGTTCTTCCGAAACAAGGATCCACTGATTTATACTGGCGATCTCGACGACGAGGACGAGGTACTGTCTTGGATCACGGACGAGGACACTCTGGAGATACCAGGAAAAATCGAAGAGGTCAATGCTAGAATGCTGGAAAACATTCTCGACGAGAACGATTACGTCGTCGTCTTTTTCTGTACGTCGGTCGAAATATAATCAAACGTATTGCTATATACAATTTGTTGATTGCGCGTGATACAAATAAAAAATGCTTGCTTGTAGATAAAGAAGGCGATAAAAAGAGCCAGAAAATCCTCCAGGAGCTCGAGAACATTGATGACGAGTGCGAAGAGAAGGACATCGATTTTGTAAAGATCTCCGACGAGGGAATCGAGAAGGAATACGATCTCCCGGGATTACCGGCGTTGGCATTCTACAGACACAAATTCCGGCAGATCTATTCGGGCGACATGATGCACGAGGAAGAAATTTTAGAATGGGTCCTCGAACTTCGCACGACAACGCCGGATGTTATCGAAAGCGTCGATAGAAAAACATTACAAGTACTTATCAACGATGTCGAGCATCTCGCCGTGTTCTTCTGTAAGTATTCCCTTTTAGCTACTGAATTTATGTACGTATTAGTACGTATATAGGTGAAAGAATTATAGGTAAAAATTTAAGACGATAAAAATAAAAATAAAATATCTATATAATGAAACAAATTATATATCATATCTATTTATGAGTATTGATTATTTATATCTTCCTCGATGCTTGTTTTAAAAAACAATTGGCTTAAAATTAGTCAAAGAATTAAAACATACTTAGAAAACGAGTATTCTATATATAATGAGGTATTATTTTTCTTGTATAATAGGCAAAACGCATATAACGTTTATTTTGACCTTTTCAGAGATTACATAATTAGAGTTTATAATTTCAAATAGTATTTGATCTAATAAAAATAATTTAAAAAATGAATTTATATTTTTTGCACGTGTTTTCGAGATTACATTGATAACTTATGATTTTTAACAGACGATGACAAATGTGAATCCTGCGCGGAGATTCTCGAAGAGTTGGAAACGATTGACGATGATACTGACAAACACGGTATTCAATTCGTCAAATCAAATGACGCTAAACTGGCGGCTGAAATCGGCGTTTTCTCCTTCCCGGCTCTCGTTTACTACGAGACCGGAGTCCCCATCATGTACGACGGTAAGTACGACAGAAAGATTTTAATTCTGTTTCTTTATTCTCGAGCTTATCCCGCCCTTCTTCCTCGTTTTTTTCATGGAAGAGAAACAAGATTAAGTTACCTTACGCGTTTTTCCTTTATTAAGTCACTCTTCACTATTTCGAAATAAATCATAATTAATTAACGAAGAGATTTCAGTAAAATAGAATTTCAATAATAATGCAGTGTGTTTAGTCCATTTTTTAATGATTAAATAAAATACCAGTTTGCTACTAACTTTTCTTAAAAATTATATATATATATATATACATCAATTATATTATTATAATTCAAATTGTATAATACGATCATATAATGAAGAGCGACTTAGCGTGTTCCTTTCAGCAATTTTTACATCGATAAAGCGATAACGCGAAACGCGACACCGATCAATGATCACAGTGCGTTATCGAAGCCAGCTGATCCTGATACGCGTGTGTGCCTTTTGTAGGTAATCTTAAGAACGAGGACAGAGTTCTGGAATGGCTAATCGAACAGAAAAGTAAGGAGATTTCTAGGATGATGATTATTATTACTGGTGTACTGTTCTTTGTGACGTTAATCTCGGTCGTGACTATACCACCGGGCTACGAGTACAATACTCACGCCGTGGTGATCACCCCGATCACGTTACCTCCACCACGATCACCATGATCGCAATCGTAATAAACGAAAAAGAAGGGGAAAAAACGAATGAAACATCCGTCGAATCTAAAAGGGGATTTCCTGTAATCGTTTATTGTCGGTTTTACGTCTCGGCCCGTTGTATGTCTCGATTCGCGTACTGATTAAAACAAAAAAAAAAGGATTTGAATCCAAAGTGTGGGACGTCACGAAGCTCGATAAAACGCGATTTTCAACATGCACGCTGGCCATATTATATTCTCACGGTATAATGCATTTAAATCACACTAGCAAGCTTATCTTACTTATTTTGCCCTTTTTACTCGCTCTTTCGTACTATTACATACTAGTAGCTGCATTGATGCAATAATGCGGAACGCGTCACGTGTCGTCGGTGATGCGTCGTACAAATCTTCCCGCGCCTATTTCGCGAAAGAAAAATATCACGGCGCGTCACCGTTGAATTACAAATAACGATTTTATGAATTGCCCAAATATCTGAAGCTTCACATCTCGCAGCTTTCGGCGCACTAATAACGGCTGTTTTTCATCTTCTCTTCTTTTTTTAATTTCTTTTTTTTTTGGACGCGTTTAACAAAGCTTTCGTGATCAATATGAAGTAAAAGTCGCGAATCAGTTTATAAATTGTGGAAATTTTGATTATAAATCACATTTTTATTTCAAAGATTCAAAGAAAAAAAAGTGTAGTATAAAAAATATAAAAATATATAGATAAATTTATACTTATGTTATAAATTTTATGTTTGGCAATGGACGTTAATACAAGTATCATTGTTAATTGATACGTTTATATTGTCCTTAAATTATGTGAGTATAATAATCCTATTTGTAACACATATGCCCACATTATGGACACTATTTGATTACCTAAGCCTGTCTTAATCACATTCGTATGATAAACGCGTAAACTGTAAACGTTGTATAAGATAGAAAATGAGAAAAATATTTCTCCTATTTTACATAATAAAATATAACAATATATTGCGTAACAGAATTGCGGGAATGTTTAATGTGATGCGTCTATAATGTTTGTCATTAAACAAATTTTTTTTATGCATGTCATCCCTTTTGGACCGAGGCCGTATCGATCACAAAAAACCTAGGTACACAATTCAGTTTCCGATCGCGCCGTATATTATCCATGATCGTTAATATGCAGGTAAAGATAATGATCGTGATGATGACGACGACGACGAAGACGACGACGATAACGACGACGACAACGACGACGAAGACGACGATGACGACGACGATAATGATGATGATGAGGACGATGAGGATGATAATGATGATAATAATATGATGATGATGATGATGATGATGATGATGATGATAATGATGATAATGATGACGATGATGATGATGATAATGACAACGACGAAGATAAAGAAGATAATAAAAAATTGAACAAAGCTCTGAAGAAAATCCTGGACAAAGGTAAAGGTCCAACCACAACCCAGGAGGCCGAAGAGGAGCTCACGTGAGATCGAAGTGTGACGGGCTTTGGTGTTGCGCGAAAGACAGAAACTATACGAATGATATTCTAAAAGCAGTAGAGAAATATATACCAATAGATCGATTGGTATTGACCATAACAACGTAATTTAGATGAAACTTGGCTGTTCACTCACTATTCACGGTAGAGCTGGGAGGTGTAGGACATACCTGCATGAACCTATTGTTACCATATTTTACATACTCACACTAGCAAAGTGCATCTATATGCCTGAATTACCTCCCACTCGGTCAATTTCCTCAAAAATCCTAAATCTTTCTGGCGTAATGCATGCCCGCCTTATAACAATCCTTCTTTGGTGGAGCTACGCAACCAAGTTATTGTCATGAAGTATTCTTAGTGCACAACAAATTCCGCGGCGTAAAATCTTTCGAGTAAGAATACAAATTTTAGAATAAGAATAAAATATATTAATTTGATATAGCTATTTATTTTATTACACATAAAGAAATGTCAAGAATGTTTGGTTTTTTCTTATTGTTAGCAAAAAATTTAGATACCGAGAAGATACGGTGCGTAGCTCCAGTCTTGTTCGCATTTTTACCAATTGAAATACGGGCTTCTCCGAAGCGAGCCGATGGTTTCTGTTGACAGCTGTCGTCTGCAGCGAATTACGAGTCGAAAGGAATCGGACTAGTCTTTGTTTAAAAAGAGAAAATGATAAATATTTTCGAATTAATGTGAGATAATTCGCAAAGTATTATGGCAATAATTTCTTCTTGTTACAAACGCGTATGCATTTCATACTCGATATTAGATAAACGATAAACGAAAAACGCGAGCGTATGTAGAAACCACGAAGAGGAGGCTGGTTCACGTTTTAACGGCTACGTAGAAAGAGTCGTCGACTCGCCGCGGGAATTCTCTATTAAAACATTGTCTATTAAAAACATGCACGTTTGGCTTTTGCTAAGCAATTGGGATTGCAGTGGAACGTTCTCTATGCGCTAGCAACGTCGACATCGCACGAGTCAATATATTTTGGTTTCTCCTCGATTCTCTCTTTCTTATCTGTTTCCAATGTCTCGTTCATTTCTCTCTTTCTCTTCTTTCTTTTTTTTCTGCCTATTTGTTCTCCTATATTTTACCTTGATCACTTTTATCCTTTTTTTATTATTTGACCCAGATTGACTCGTGCGACGAGACCAGTCAGCCATAGGCTAGCCAATTCTTACAAATCTTTCTCATTCTCCTTGTATCTGACTCGTTGTATATTTGCTTACTGCAGGCGACGGCTGTTTCTACATCGGGATGGGAGGTAAAAGCGCGAAACCCAAGATTCCCTCCTATGAGCCCTACCAGTGCTGTCCCACCAAGCTCGCCCACGGCACCAAGGTCGCCAAGGTCACCAAAATCAGCCCGATTACCAAGGACAAGAGCAAATTTCAAGGTACAGGCAAAACGGATAAGCCATTACTGCCGGCTTTGAAACCGATAAACAAGCTCACGGCCAAGGACAGCAAAAAAACAGCGACGATATCATCGAAAGTCGACCACGACGCGAAGGAATCCAAGTCCAAGGCCAAAAGGGGATTTTTCGGAAGCGGTAAATATTTCAACCGGCCGCGAAATTAAATGGCTGCCCACGCGTACGGTCCATCAGCCACTACTTTGGCAAACTAAACGTAAGCGTATTCATCCGAAAAAGAAATTTTCCTCGACGTCGACAATCGTCGCACCGATTTTTTCGGAAACAAAAATCGTATCAAACGTCCAAATATAAATTGACTCGAATCGAAAAGCAAGAACGATTAGCGGATGGATCGTCCGCCGTAGGTAGCGATTTAACAAGTTGCTTTCTTCTCGAAAAAGATAGCGACCGATGAACGCGATAAATGCTTAGCATAACAGACGGGAAGGAAAGAGTGAGCTCGAAGATAGAATTTTCTGAGGCCGAGCCACCCCGGCGCGAGGTTTGCCGCAGCGGAAATAAGATCACGGTCACCTGACTTTTCGTCCTCGTGTCTCGGATGCAGGTACCTCGCGGATCTCGCGCGATCCATGAAGAGCGTCAACGACGCACAACTTCCGGACGAGCAAGACAATCGAAGATTCGACACGTGACTTCCACGCGGCTCTGGCACCGGCACCGGCTGGATTCTCCGAGTCCCCGAGTCGTCAGAATAACGGGCACCGATTCATTGATCGCGCCGACCGATTTTGTTAGTTTATCGGATTATTATCGACTAATATAATCGACTATACAATCGACTAATCGTTAATTTGGCCGATCATTTGCAGAGCATAATCCCTTATCGTGTAACAATTCAACGCGCCGACAATGAAGCTAAGGTTATTCACGAATTACTAAGGAGCTACTCTCTCGCCTAAACAATTAGCTATTTTATATACCTATGTATATATTCACGCGTCAACAAAATAACAATCTTTTGAACAATTTTCGTTTCGGCATACACTCGAGAAAGAGCAATTCGTAAATCAACCTAGCTCCTAACGTTTGTAAACCCCCGTTTCGAAAACTAAAATTTTCTATGAACTATGCATTGGTCGATGCAAAAAATATCCGCCTTGAATTCGAATTCACGCGTCTCCTCGTATACATCGTCATTGTAGAGGACAGACGACAGGGGCATATTTAATATGTATAGAAACGCGAAAAATCGTGAGAATGATTTTTCTGTCCTCTCACTGAGAGTTGGGTCGGGGTTGTGGGTTGTTGCAGTTGTGGCTGGATTACCGTATCTCATGAAGGTCTAAATGGCCGACACGCACAACGGCGTCTGGACGCGCGAGGTCGGGCTGTGAACACGGCGATTAGGATGAATGAAGAAAGAGCTGACTCGCAGGACGATGGTCGAACGAAGGAAAAATTTCGCGCGACAGAAAAATCCGCGCAATGACGAAAGAAGCCAGGTGCTCTATGCTATCGTGTGCTAACAAGCGAGATAAGTGTCGCTGTTGAGCGAGTAAAGATTTCATGTTTCTTAAAGGAACGAAAAAATGTCTCTCGTTTACCATTTAACACATTGTTGTCGTCGTCTTATCAATTATCAGCAATATTATTCCATCATCATGTTTTGACGTCAAATTCTCGTTATTATTGTGTTATCATCGTCAGCGTCATCGTCATCAGTGCCCACAATGTCATTTTCATCGCTAGATAGTCATCAACGACGTCGTCATCTTTCTTCTCGATGTGTTCCGTGTGTCATGCGCAGAGAAAAAATTAACAAACATCCGCGAGCGATTTTAACGTTTGTGTTAATGTTACGTATGTAAGGAGCCTAGATATAAACGCATCCTACGATCGATAAAGGGAACGTTATAGAGAAATAATTCGCATCGGCTGTGCGTATACGATAATTGAAGATATATTCGAGAAGAGGAATATTCGATATAGGTAGTAGATGTCGATCAACCCGGTGTCTGCCGATGGTTACGCGATAAACAGAATTATTCTCGAAACGTATGCATTTCTTGTATAGAATCTTGATCCTTAACAACCGACCGTCGTCTAACGCTGAATATTGTTTATCGGTTTTTGTTTTACTTGTTAACCCGTTAACGTCACGAAGAGCGATACCGCCGATTTGTTGCATTTCATCGATGACATTCGCACGCAGTAATAGGTAGGACTTTGTAGAATAGGGAAAAGGAGGTTGTATAAACAGTACGCTGTTGCCGAGACTATCGATAGTGTTCTACCTAGACAATGCGGTACACGCTCTAGCGTTTAATTTAACATGAGAGAGAGATTAATCGTTTGTAACTAAAACCTTTCATTCTAGAGCCTCCGTTTTATCGACCTCTGTATGCTTTCTCTTCTATCCCAATAAAACCTACTGATCCTCGGGAGCTAACTTTCCTCTTCGACATATTATATTTATAAGACTCAAAGAGATCTCAAGAATGAAATGGCGCTCAGGCCCAGAGTTAGCGCGAAGCTACGAACGAATGTCTTGCCTATGGTTTTATTTATAATGAGATTTCTTAATAATACAGAGTTCCTACAGTGTGTTTATGTCAGTCTTCTGTTTTAAAACGGGATTTATGTTTTAAACGGCTTTCCGTTCTAAATGGCGAGTCGCAGATTTCTGACGCGCTATTATGAATTACTATCATTACACAAATTTGATGATGTCAATTGAAAAAATTATGAGAGTGTCAAAATATTCGACAATATTTTATTACTAAAATTGTCATCAATATCGCAATCTCATCCTTGAAATTTCGGAACTTTCCGAATTAAAATAACGAAAAAAGAATGCATCATACATACAAATAAGAATTTACAAATTACAAATATAATTGTATGTATCGTGTGTAAAATATTACTTTTAATCCCGACATGAATATGTTCTGCTCTTCCTTTGCGATACGTTGAAATTCGACACGTGTCTTGTTACATCCGTATCTTGTTACATCTCTAATGTCTTATCTTAGCTTCATGCTGGTTGCATGAACCAATACAAAACGAAGAACCGCGATTAAATCGCGTTAAAAGAACTATGATATTAAGACACCTATTTATTTATTTATTTATTTATTTGTAAATAAAATACTTCTTGTCTTATGTGTTCGCTGTTTTGTCGCTCAATGTCCGATAATCTGCGCAAGATATAAACACGTTATCACGTAATTGTCAAATTACAGGCGAGATTCGCGTAATAATATTGTATCGCGATCTAAGAGCGTAAAGTCAATCATTTTAGGTATTTTAGAAGAATTCGTCGCGTCATCAACGAACGAAGCTTTCTGTCGCACTGTATCTGTGATCACAATTATCAGACGTCATGAATTATTGCTCGTGAACGTTGCGTGCGAGCCAATAAGTCCTTGTTATTCGCATAAGAGCAGCATGTACGATAATAAAAAAAGTCAATTATACGATAACAATAAATACATTTCCTAATATCCTTTGTATTTGCTTTGTTCACCATCGCTCTAATAATGATGTAGGCTATTGTACATACGCTTACACGTCCACACGATACAATAATGTTTCTGTCAGAAATTTCGAACTCATCACAAAATCTACTGAATGCTTAATTCACAAAAATCCATATTAAAATTACATGGATTGTATAAAAATTAATTAATACACAGAAAATACAGAGATAAATCATTTATCTCGATTATGTCCAGCAAAATGATAATATTTATAAAAGTAAAATTTTGATTTTTATTGAGTATACTTATAAAAATAAAGGTTAATACTAATTATTTTTTCATACAGTCTCTAAACAACTTTAAACTTTTAGCTTAATTTGTTAAAGATTGTAAATAATCTTTAACAAAACTTAAGTGCCTGCAATCTTTTTTAATTTCGTGTGATAATAAAATGATAAAGGTATATACATATCTTCGTCTATAAAAAGAATCTTCATATTTTTACGATAAAACAGTTTATGAAAAATTGATAGAAAAAAATAGCCATTCCAGAACAGCATGTTAATATGAATAAATGAAAACTATCGCTATATCGATGTATTATTTTTTAGTAAAATAAATTTATTACAATAGATCTAGATGTCAATGTAGCTAAACTAACTAGCTAAAATATATAATTAGATAAACTTATAGCTAATTGCTATAGATATCTGTCCTAAAAAAACAGAGTGATTACCTTGGTTTTAATATGTTTTAATATAAATGTTTTATGTATTTATCCAAAATATATATTTAGGAAAACTTATGTTAAATAATGTTTTCTATCATTTTAAATATAAATTATTATAAAGTAGCATTAAAGCTCTTTTACATATACTGCTCTTGTTAGGAAAATAACTTATAAAATATAAAAATTAAAAATATAAAACAATTAATTTGTAATAAATAAATTTTGAGGTATAAACTATTGATGAAATTAATATATATATAGAATTTAAGAGCTAGAATTTAGATATTTAATTCCTGTTACATTTCCCAATTCATGTTCAATATTTAAGTAGCTCATAATTGTAGAAATCTTTTTTCGAATTTCGGAGAAGATACTATTTGTTTCAGCATTAACTCTGACTAGCAAAATATTGAGCAAGTAATTGAATTATCAACTGCACCATAACATTTAGGTAATCTTCTCGACGAGACTGAGGTACTTGATTGGATGGTGAAACAGAAAAATGATGAGAGCATTGAAGAAATCGACCGTGAGACTCTTCTCAAATACATCGAGATAAAAGAATTTCTCGCTGTCATATTCTGTAAGAAGCAATTTTGATTCAACGTACACAAAAATAGCAAGCAATAAGGAAACTCATCTGTCTCATTTCCTTTATTTTATTTATTCTCTATATCATTTTTAAGTCTTAAACATTATATAGTTAACGTCACGTATCGTTTTTTATAAAAATAGATTTGACATCTGTTATTAGATGTTATATATTAATATAATCAATCGTTTTCTTGTTAAATTTTTTAAATAATTATATATACAAAACTTCTATACTATTATAATCGATTATTTTAGACAATAATCTTGTAATACTCGGTAATCTTAAACAAAATTTCATATAGTCTTATAATTAAAATACTATATATCAGATACTCTATAATTACACATAGAATTGTATACATTAACGAAAAATATTCAGACAAAGAGGAGGATCCAGAGAGTCCGAGGGTGCTCAGGCATATAGAATTGATTGACGACGAGGCTGCGGAATACGGAATAAAGATCGTCAGGATGAAGGATCGGCTAATGGCGAAGAAATATGGTTTTCGAAATCCACCAGGCATCACTTACTTCCGCAAGGGTAAAAACATCAATTACGACGGTGACATCGACGACGAGGAGGAGATCCTCGACTGGTTGACCAACCCGGAGAACATGGAGCTCACCGATCACATAGAGCGCATCAACAAGAAGATGTTTCAGAAAATCCGACAAACGACCGATTATTTAGCCGTATTTTTTTGTGAGTGCCAATATACAGTCAATGTAATGAAGCTCAATAAGGACGGCTATATATCTGCGTTTATCATTTCTAATACGTCGCACGTTTGTTTAGACAGCAACGACTGCAAACAGTGCGGCCGGGTATTGATGGAAATCGAACATATCGACGACGAGGCCGACGGCGCCGGTATTAAATTTGTCAAAATCGACGACAAACAGCTATCTAAGCAATACGGTGTTTTCGCGTTACCTGCTATACTGTTCTTCAAGATGGGCTCGAAGGAACCAGTTATATACGCAGGTATACAAGACGAGTTACACGACACTTTTTACTAGCGAGATAAGTGAAAGTTAAGAAAGATCGATTTGACAGGTGATCTGTACGACGAGGAGCAAATTTTGCAATGGTTGATGACGCAAAAGGATCCGTCGGGTGAGGTGATCGAGGCTCTGGAAGGCGAGGACCTTTTAAATTTGATACGAGAATCGGAATCCTTAGCCGTATACTTCTGTAAGTTCCTGAATGTTTACGAATAACTTCATGACAAAATGACCAAAAGGTTATTGTTAATAGCTTCGTGCATCCTATTTTTCTTCATTTATTTACTTTATTTTCATTTAGCGTTATTAATTAATATGTGATTAATATGGTGTTGATGAACGCATCTCGATAGTGACAGCGCCAGTTTGTTTTCTATCTATATTCGTTATTTTTTTAAGCAGCGAGATTGGACAAAAAAAAACTGCGTTTCATCAGGAAGATTTCCGTAAAAAAGCGACTTTGCGGAATGTTGATGGAATATCGATTTCGCGATATTCCTTCTTGTAAAGTTGTGATTCTCCCCTCTTCCTACTTTACGTGATTAAATTAATCTTTGTATCGTAATCACGATTGTAATGAAGAGATCTACTAATTATCCCTAACAAATGTCGAACTATGTCTCGGTCTCTCTATCTCTCTCTCTCTCCTAATTCTTTCTGTTACGTATCTACTTGCTGTCGACTTTCGCTCCGGATGCTGTACACTTTGTGTACTGATGCCGTAGGGAACAGAACGCTTTGCGACGTGTGCCAATCAAAAACGCACCGCAAGCAGACGCGCCACAAGGAGCACAGGACCGCGGAACATGCAGAGGCGGCCGAACACCTCGATGGTACAACAGATTAAAACTAGATGAAAATTTATCGATGCTCTGAGCTTCCTTGCTGTCTCTATATCTCTCTCTTTTATTCTCTTTTCCTCTCTCTCTCTCTCTCTCTCTCTCTCTCTCTCTTTCTATATATATTTCTCCTCCTTCTATCTTTCTGTGATTTATAGTATATGTTTCAGTTATCTCAATCACAGATAACCGAGATTTATTCCCAGCACATGCACAAAATACACACGGAGAAAAAAAAATTCGGCCATTGTATATTCAATATAAATCGTTTCATCATCCGTATAATAATAACCGAGACGATATTTTCGTAAAATGTGCTAAGCCAAGCTTTTTTTCTCCATGTACAATCGCGTGCGATTTATTGGTACGCAATATACGCGAGCTTTGCCGGAATCCGGAAAAGCTTTGAGAAGTAATGTGCGTGCCATCGTAGTGCATGCGCTTTTTTCGTAGGAAAAACAGAACACTGATGATCGACGGGACAATTTTGTGTACCTTAAATATACCATATAGCGAAGCATTGAAATAAATCTCTCTTATATGTTTGATAAAAATAATCGGAATGTATTTTGATTCTTTTTGTAATCAAATCAGTGTTCCCTCAATTATTCTTGTTTTATAGCTAATAGAAGCAGTTGTGGACATAGAACCGCCACTTTCCAGGCCAAGCATTTGTAGGATGCTTTCTCCAAAAAAAAAAAAACAATGTATTTCTCTTTTTTTCTTTCTCGCTCTCTCTTTCTCTCTCTTTTTTTCTCTTTTTCTCTTTCCGATATATTTTCTATGTACATTACACAGTTACACAGGTGCACGTGCACGAGAGCAAAGCATGCAACATGAGAACAGAATACAAGCAGCCAAGCAGTAGTGACCTACAGATCCCGACGAGCATGCAACATTCTCTCTCGCTTACTCCGTCGATGAGATAGATGCTTTAAATATTGCTCTGAGAGTTCAAACATCATGTGTAAATAGTATAGACGATCGTGCGATCCTTATCGTAGTACTACTCACACTTTTTATTACATGCCTTTATTTGCCTTGTATTTAGCAGATTTCTCCCTCGTATCGAATAGACCATTTACAATCAACGATATCGATGTGCAATATTCTGTTATTTTAGTATCGCCTCTACATTGTTCAAATAGATTATTTAAGACTGCGAACTCGCGATAAAGATTTGATAATAATAGAGTTTCTCTTCAGATCCAGTCGACTGTACGCAATGCGCGGCGATACTCGAGGAATTGGAGAACATTGACGACGATTGCGACAGACACGGCATTACATTTGTGAAAACGCAAGTAAGTGTAATCGATATATTAAAATCGCTTTTTTATTATATTTTATTACTTTTTTTTAATAACTTGATCTATTATTAGTAATATAAGCAAAAAAAGCATTGTTTTAAAAAATTGGAAATGTAAAATAAAAATTTTTTTTATATAACGCTTTGCTTCTTCGAAAAAATTTAATCTGAAGATCAAAAAATTAACATCTTTTAACTAATTTAAGTTTGTATAACTTTTAATAATAATTTTTTAATAGTGAATATATAACAGCAATTTTTTATATAAAAAAAAGAAGATGACAATGTAATATTGTATTTAAGAAAATAGAAATAATATTGATACACTTTACAAATAATTTTCTTTCGTTCATCTATAATAAGAATATCTTTCATTATTGTAGGATTTCAAGGTTGCTGAAGATTATGGGGTGACTGATTTACCAGTATTAGTCTACTTCGAGAACCAAGTACCGAATGTGTTCGCAGGTTTGCAGTTTTGACGATTAACTTTCCCGACAGCGATTTTATTCACAATTATTTGTTCATAGGCGATCTCTCGGTGGAA